AAAGCGGAGGCACGTCGTTTTTTTCCACACTTGCAAAACAACCAAACAACCCTCTGACCTGAATCTGTCTGACTGTCTAAAAATAATAAGCAGTTCAGCCAGATACAGACGAAGGACTGATTTAGTTTAAAAAGTGAAAACATTTATTCTTATCAGTTTGTACATTTCATTTGATTGATAACAGTTTATACTTGGATTGAAAATATCAGAACCTGGTAATCATCATTAACACTTTCAGGTTTGAGTTACTGGACTGAAGAAACGTGAGACTCAGACATTTCCTGACCCTTTCACCCACAGAATCCCCCAAACCTGTTCACTCCAGTCCCCCTTTGACTGTTTGACTCGTTCTTGCTGCACTATTCATCCCTTATCCTTTAGGGTTTTTAATTGTTTTCTGAGGCCTGATATGACCCCCACCCCCCCAACCACACACACACACACACACACACACACACACACACACACACACACACACACACACACACACACACACACACACACACACACACACACACACACACACACACACACACACACACACACACACACATTCTGTCCCTCCCCTCCCTCAGCCATGCTCGCAGCCAGTGGTGCGTGATGCCAGTGGCCTACATACCGCTCCCACAACTCCACTGTGGCAGGTCGGACACACACAGTCTAGTGAAGCTATCTTTATGGGGACATCGCATTGACTTCCATTAATTTCTACAGCCTGACCCTGACTCCTTACACTAAACATAACCTCACAGGTATACATTCCTGACCCTAAATCTAACCTAAACTCAATTCACACCTTAGTCCTAAACTTAACCCCTGACCTACCAAAGGCATTTCCCCCCATGGGGACTATAGGCTCAGGTCCACATAAATACTAGTTGGTCCCCACAAGTAGGGAATACCTGCTCGCACACACAACCAGGTGTCCGGGCACTGCTTTGACCTTTAATACTCAACAGTGAACATGCACGCACACACACACAGTCCTCCATACACACACTTGTTTACAGCAGTGCCCAGTCTGAGCATTAGTCACATTCAATCCTGTGAGGAAGAAGATGGAAACAGTTTTCTTCTGTGGTTTTTATTCAGATGAAGGTCTCTAAACAAACCCAGAAACAGAAACAACTTCTGTCCTACAGGAAACACGAGCTTCCCCTTGAATAGGTTTTCATTCTTCCTCTGTATTGTTCTACCTGTGTAGTCCAAATGTTTTTTTTATCGGTTTGCACGCATGACATTATTTTACCAACAATATTTGCCTTTTCTTGGTAATCTTATAATTTTAAGAGTGAGAGCAAGTCATATTTTTAATTTCTTATCTATGCGTCAGATAAAATGTCTGAAACTGCTAATTAAAGTAACAATAGAGTATTTTAAATTGAACACTAACTGAAAAGCAAATGTAGTTAAAAAAATAATAATATCAGGCCAACAAAAATAAAAGCAAAAAGAGAGCAAAATTATTTAAGATTTTTAACCGCTGCAGTCTGTGTGTGCGTTTGGTGTCGATCCGATTCAAGATGACCACAGCAGCTTATCAACCTTAGTCACACAATAAAAAGCTGTACATCAGTAAATTTGACAGATATTGAGCCAAAAACAGGTGTGTTTGTAGCTGAGAGTCATCTTCAGCACATACATTTCACAAGATCTTACTGAATATCACAAGATTGTGTGAAACATCATTTATATTTACAAGGTATGACTAAAAAGGCTCATTTTTCATCATGAATTAAACTTTGTTAAAAACCCTGACAGGAAAGGCGGCGGGTGATCTGAATGTTTTGGATGCAGAGACTGAAACCAGTTTTCTTCAGCTTCAGTTCAAAGTTCCGCTTCTTTTTCTCTTGTCACAGACGTGTGAACCCCCTGAACCCAGACTGAAGTATAAATAGACACGTGCCAGGAGGAGCTGGAGACAGTAGATCACTGCTGTTTGATCAGATGCTCACAGGGTGTGTGTTTGCATGTTGTGTAATAGTTCCTGACTTTGTCCACAGTGCGATGGAACCTGAACGATGAGCAGAAACACTGGAGACTGGACTTTACGGAGGACATGGCCTAGTTTTCATTATCGTGGTTGTCAACATCGTCATCGCCGCCCTCGGAGTCCATCGGCCAAACCGCAGCAACTGAGTGAGAACATGTAGTAAACCTGCACCACATGTTTGTCATAATAAGTGTTAAAACCAGCAGTTTGAGCAGCTCATGAAGGTGTTTGTGGAAAGTTCTTATGGGAATAAAACCCAGATATTTTAAATCGGGGATGGACAAGTGGTGGTCCGTGGGCCACATCCGGCCTACAGGTGACTTCCGAACGGCCTGCAATAAATAAATAAATAAATAAATAAATAAATAAATAAATCTTCTTTTGGGAGGTGCTCACAGATATTCAAAGCAAACCCGTGTGTTTAGTCTGCTTAGAGACGCTGTCTCTCATGAAGATATTGAATATGTTAGATATTTCTTGGTTATAGTTATAGTATAGCTATAGTTATTGTGCTTTTTTAAGTTTTATTTAATATTGTGAAATGTATGCTATTTTGTAATAAGGGGGAAGCTAAGTATAAATTATTCAAAATGAATAATACAAGAAAAAACAGGACTTGAATATAAGTTACCCTTACGACACGTTGCACAAAGCTAAATATGAGAAGATTACGGAAGTCACGAGTACATAAACAACAGCAAATTTTCACCAGACATTGCACTTCAGCTCACTAAAATAAATAAGTGTTTGTTTTTGGTTTGCTTCAAACTTTTTGTGTTAATATTTATTAAGCAAGAATTCAACTGTTATACATGCATTTGAGCATGAAATATGCTAAATTACTGCACCGTATGTTGGATTAATAAACATATATACTGTATGTGTGTGTGTGTG